ACCCCTCCCTATCCAATTTCCATTTCAATTTCCCACTGCTACCCAAAGTAATTACCATCTTGAAGTTGATGAGTATTATTTCCATTTTACTACAAATATGTGATAGACAAAAAATATATAGCATTGTATGTGTTTTAAAAAGTGTGTAGGGCCGGCCCCATGGCTTAGTGGTTAAGTGCACGCGCTCCGCCGCTGGCAGCCCGGGTTCGGATCCCGGGCGCGCACCGATGCACCGCTTCTCCGACCATGCTGAGGCCGCGTCCCACATACAGCAACTAGAAGGCTGTGCAACTACGACATACAACTATCTACTGGTGCTTTGGGGGAAAATAAATAAAAAAAAATTTTAAAAAGTGTGTAAATGGTATCACACTGTACTTGAGCCTTTTGCAAGCTACTTTTAATATTCACTATTTTAAGAATCTTTTTTGTATTGGTACATTAAAATCAAGTTCATTTATTTTTGAGTATTCTATAGTATTCCATTATAGGACTATACCACAATGTATCCATTCCTTTTTTGATGGACATTGGACTGTTTACAATTTTGTTTTTGCTGTTAGTGACACTATACAGCCTTGTCCACATATGAGAGTTTCTCTAGATCTGCACTGTGCACTATGGTAGCCACTAGCTTAAAATGTGGCTAGTCTAAATTGCAATGTGCAATGTAAAATACACGCCAGATTTTGAAGACTTAGAGTGAAAAAAAAGAATGTAAAATATTTCATTGATAATTTTTATATTCATTGCATGTTGAAATGACAGTATTTTGACATATTTTATTAAATAACATATATTATTAAAATTAATTTTACCTATAATTTGGCTACTAAAAAATTTAAAATTATATATATGACTTGTAGTATATTTCTGTTGGACAAGGCTGTTCTAGATCAGGAGTCAGTAATCTACAGCCTACAGGCCAGCCATCTGTGTTTGCAAATAAAGTTTTATTGGAAAACATGCCCATTCATTTACACACAGTCTATGGCTGCTTTCCTGATGAGACAGCAGAGTTGAGTAGTTGCAACAGAGACTAAATGACCCATAAGCCTAAACTATTTACCATCTGGCCCTTTAAGGAAAAGTTTGTTGACCCCTCTTCTAGAGCAATGATGTTTAACCTTTTTTTAACCAGGACCCCCAAAAGAAATATATTTAATATTGTGATCCCACATGCACACACACACCTGAAACAAAAGTTTCACAAATCTTACTATTTATTTTCGTATTTTCTGATCTGTTCTGTTTTGTTAACGTAAACTAAACTGCTGGTCAGTAAACTACCATGACTCACTAAATTGACTTAGCCATTCATTCACTACCAGTCATTTGAATATCATTGTTCAAGGATATATACCTAAAAATGGAGTAACTTCATTACCGGAATGTGCACAACCAATGTTACAAGATTCATCAAAGTGTCATCCAAAGTGTGTGTGTGTACAAATCTTCAATCCCACAAACAGTGCAAGAAAGTTTCCATTTTCCCACATCTTTAACAGTATCTGACATTGCCAGACTGATCTGATAGGTGTGAAATGAAATCTTGTTGTTGTTTTTTTTTTGTGAGGAAGATCAGCCCTGAGCTAACCTCCATGCCAATCCTCCCCTTTTTGCTGAGGAAGACTGGCCCTGAGCTAACATCCGTGCCTATCTTCCTCCACTTTATGTGGGATGCCGCCACAGCATAGCCTGACAAGCGATGCATCAGTGCGCACCCAGGATCCAAACCCGGGCCGCCAGCAGCAGAGCATGCGCACTTAACCGCTACGCCACAGGGCCAGCCCCGAAATCTTGTTTTTTTAATAATCTGATTTCTAGTAAGTTTGATCATCGTTTCTTGTGTTGAGTGATTTTTAATTTTTTTTCTTTTGTGAATTGCCTGCTCACATTCATTGCCCTTTTTTTAATGGGGTCATTTGTCTGTCTGTTGCATTCTTTTGATATTCTGGGTACCAATACTTAAACAGTTATGTAGATTGCAAATGTGTGGATTGCCCACTCCAAGGTTTGGTTTTTTCGCTTTCTTTATAGTGTTTTTTATCAGACAGAAGTTTTAAATTTTAAAGTAATCAAATTTATCTATCTTTTCCTTTATGTTCTTTTTGTGTGTGTGAGAAAGATTGGCCCTGAGCTACCATCTGTTGCCAATCTTCCTCTATTTTGTACGTGGGACACTGCCACAGTGTGGCTTGATGAGCAGTGTGTAGGTCTCTGCCTGGGATCCAACCTACGAATCCCAGGCCGCCAAAGTGGAGTGCACAAACTTAACCACAATGCTACTAGGCCGACCCCTCCATTTTTTTTTTTTTTTAATCTCATTTAAGAGATCCTTCCCTACCCCAAGATCATAAAGATTTTCTCTGATATTTTCTTCTAACAAATTTAAAATCTTGGTTTTTTTTTTTTTCTGTTGAAAATTCATGTTTGTACATGGTGTGAGATACAGCTGTATCTTTTTTTTTTGTCCTAGTCCTAGGGTAAATAGCTGGTGTGTGAGTATCATGAACTGACACGTCCATCCTTCCATCACTGGTGTAACACTATCTTCGTCACATAGCAAGTTCCTATATACAGAGATCTGTTTATTGGATCTCTGTCCTCAAAACTTTGGCCCTAGATTTATCAGAAACAAATCTTTTCTGATCTCATGTATACTGCAACCAGGCCTAGATGGTTTTGCAGGCAAGTTTTAGCAATCTTCCAAGGAACACATAATCCCTATCTTATATAAACTACATAAGATAATTGAAAAAGAGAAAAAATTTCCCAATTCATTTTATGATTCTAATTTAACCTTTATACCAAAACCAGACAAGACCAGTACAAGAAAGAAAAATTATGGGCTAACCTCACATTTGAATGTAAATGTAAAAATCCTAAATTAAATATTAGAATAACTGAATCCAGCAATGTGTAGTAAGGTAAGTTTATGCAAAGTGTGCAAGCATGAGTTAATTTAAGAAAAGTTATTAATGTAATTCATCACATCACAGAATAAAGAAGGAAAACTATGTGATTTTTTTATAGATATGGAAACAGCATTTGATAAAATCTAATAACTATATATGATTTTAAAAGATAAAATGTTGGGGCCGGCCTGGTGGTGTAGTGATTGGGTTCTCACGCTCCACTTCTGTGGCCCAGGATTTGTAGGTTTGGATCCTGGGCACAGACCTACACACCACTCATTAAGCCATGCTGTGACAGGCACCCACATATGAAATAGAGGAAGATTGGCACAGATGTTAACTCAACGACAATCTTCCTCAAGAAAAAAGAAGAGGATTGGCAACAGATGTTAGCTCAGGGCCAATCTTCATCACACACACAAAAAACATAAAATGTCTAGAAAACTTGGAATAGAAACACACTTCCTTAACCTGATAAAGAGCATCTACCAAAACTTATAGAAAATAAGCACTTTGCGTTGACACATACCTCATACTGCTCTGGTACTGAGTTCTCTCTTTGTATCTGGCACCTGAGAATTTTTCTTTCTTTCAGTGCTTTGCTGTTACTTTAAATAATTGTTTGCATGAGTATGTGTGTGTATACTCGCATATGCACACATTTATGTATTTTTTAGTTAAAGCCATTATGGATGGATCTGATGAAGATAAAAATATCTTATGAAACTTTCTATGATTGTATTTTGCCAGACGGTAAAATAAAGATACTCTACTGCCATAGCGCTTCTAAGGATTTGATATTTCCAAGATCCCTACAGTGACATGAAAGATAAAGACTACTATTAGTTGTAACATTGCCGTCACTGTCACACTGACATTGAACAGCTTTAAAACATTTTTTAATGTGTTTCCAGGGGTTGGTGGTGGAGAGAGAGACATGTTTCCAGAGAGCACTTTCCATGGTAGCAAACAAACTTTCTCTAAACTTTTCTGTTACTGAACAAGGGATTCCACTGACCATGAAGACCAGTACAGGGCCTGGCAACGTTGCACACAAAGAACAATCGATGCATTCTTGACTGTGAGGTCATATGCATTAAATAAGGCAATTCTGATGCCAAATCAATACTATATTGTAGATTTCCTACAGCAGATATTGAGATATAGATCTGCTGTAGTGGGAACAGAAATCTCATCAGGAAATAGCAGTTCAGACAAATCTGGGTTACCACCAACAGGGAAAGACCTGGATTGATTGTGGTCTGCCCCACTGCGTGGTGAAAATGTCAGGTTGGAGTGAATATTCATGGAGTCCTTGGAGAGGGGGAAGGAGAAATCAATAAACTAAACACTCTACCTAATAATGCAACCGTTTTCTCCAAGGCGAGTTCTTTTTTCTTGAATTTGGTAATCCTGTTCCTGATATGTTGGTAATGCTGTCTTAGAGATGCCACAAAAGATTTCATAGAAAGCCTAAGGGCAGATTTATTCCGTAGTCCTTGAATAAGGGTTATGTTAACGTGGTTCTGGCTGAACATTGCACTAGAAGTCTGGCTAAAATTGAAATAAAGTTTTCCTTAATTCCAATTTCCTTAATTTCCTTAATTCCTAGACCCTTTGAAGCTATGTCAAGAGACTAAAAAAGAAATCCCACATTTTTAGTCCTAATTTGCAATTCACTTGTCCTGTGATCCTGCAAAAGCTACCCAATCTCTTTATATATACAGTGGCTTGTATGATAATGTTCAATTTTTCTTTGTAGAGATCTTCCCCAGAATATAATAGATGACATAAATGTTTTGGCAGATGGGGTCAAAATATGAAGGCAATTCCTCCCAAATCATGTTTTGGCATTTGTCTAAATTTAATAGACTCACCTTTCCTAACCATACTATAGAAATCTCCTACCATGCACGTGAATGTTTCAGAAGAGCCCCTGTTCTCTCTTCCCAAAATCATTTTTTCAAAACTTGCTGGCATTGTTTAGACTTCAAGAGCATAGTAGGTTCGTGACCCATTGGCCTGGTGTTTGAACAGAAACCAAATTAATTACTTTTATTGTTTGTTCCTACATTTTCCCAGGCACCTTTTAAAAATGAACAAGAGCAGCTCTGATTTGGAAAAAGTGAGCCAGGGCTCTGCAGAGAGCCTCAGCCCATCCTTCAGGGGCGTCCACGTCAGTTTCACCACGGGATCCACGGACAGCCTGGCCTCGGACTCCAGGACCTGCAGTGACGGAGGTAACAGACTTGACCTTGACGGGGAGACTTAGATTCTCCCAAGTCTGCGAGGCCAGGCCTGGGTTAATTGCCAGGATTTGGAAAGGCTGAGGTAGACCTACTGTCTTGGTCCTGCTTCCCCCATGAAGTAGATTCTGCCAGGGAACAGTTGATGTTAATTCCCTACTGAATACATGACAAGGTGCCTCATCTCATGTTGCCGTCTCCAATTGTACACAATGCATCCACATGGCAGCAAGCTGGAAGGAGACAGAAGTTGAAAGCATATTGAAAGACTCCTCATTCCCTCGGTGATGAGCCATCTATGTACAGGTCTGCTCTCCATTTCTGTCCTCAGGATTAGTTCTCTGGGGATAGGGTACATGCCAACCACAAGTTTTCACACACAACCATCCTCCCATCTCTCAGTCTCTGTCTCTCTCTCCCTGTCATGCAAATGCATGCGCACCCACGTGCACACACTTACTTGGACACAAAGCAGGTGTTTACTTAAATGTTTGTTGAATTAAAGCATTAGACCACCATCCATCCCACTTTCTGGATAAAGCTCTAAGGCATAATATGTGGCTATGTCCTAATTGGGTATGTTCCTAAAAAGGAAGTCTTGTTTTTCTGTAGATGTGATGAGTAGTATTAACCTCTCACCTTTTCAGCATTCTCCCTGTGTGTGTCCTCTCCTGCATTTCTCATAGACTTGCTTTAGCATGTTAGGTTTCCACATGTGCCAACATGACTACCTGGCTCACTCTATGGAAGTATTTCTTCTCAGTAGGCAATTTTGAAGTAGAAGGTTCCATTGTAAATTTACTGTCACCAACATTTTTCTATCTAAAAGATGAGTACCGCTAAGACAAAAGCATAATTATAAGTCAGTCTGTGGTGTGTTCTGATGGGAACCTTCTGATAGCTCTGACTTAAAAACAGGAATATCTTAGTCTTGATTCGGGTGGGATGTGGCAAAGAGTATTTTCTTTTTCTGCAGATTTTCCTGGGCTTCTGTCTTTTTCCTTTTCCCATCCAACTGTGCGAAAATTCCAGGAGGCAGATTATTCTACAGAGGACTGGGCTGGGCACGTGCACCATTAGTCCCTGAGCTGGTCAGCCCTGAGCTGCTCTCTTGGGGATGGTGACCAAGTCTGATGGAGCAGTCTACAGTGGAGCCCTCCATTGGCCACCGGCCGGGCTGGTGTTGATGAGAACTGGACTTAATTGCCAGCTTAAAAGCACTTTGCTTCTCAGAACCAGCAAATCATGATGTTTGCTCTTAAGATCTAGCTAGGAAAATAAGATTAAAATGTATGACATGAGGGTGGATAGGCTAAGCTAGGAAATCGGGCTGCCCAGAACATGAATGCCTGTAAAGACTTCCAGAAGAGAAAGGAATCAATGAGGGCTGGTGGAGGGTTCAGAGAAGGCTTTGTGAGAAAATGGGACTTCAGCTCCTATCTCAAGTGTAATTAGAATTGAGGAGGTAGAGGGAGAAGGAGAGGGTTTTACAGGTTAAGGAAACAATAAAAGCAGAGCAAAGACACAGGGTTAGCAGTGCACATTGGGAAAAGGGTAAGACCAGCCTTACTCACTTCAGTGGAGGCAGGTGAAGGGAAAATGGGACCTGAGGTTGGTGGGAAGCTGGAGGATGGATTGTACAAAGCTCTCGTAACCAATTTGTGGAGTTCAGAAATAGGGAGCCACTGGAGTTTTATGAGCACAATGGTGACACTTTTGAATTAAAATGAATACATTTTTTAATTAAAAGGAATGGTTATTCCTTTATCATGAGCTAGTTACTCAATGGAAATGCACTCCAAAATTTAGATTCCTGGATCAACAAGAAAGCATGTACTTTGTTACCAGACTCTGGCTCCTTAGAACAAACCGTTTCTATCTGCTGTTCCTGCATATGTCTCTGTACCTGGAACCATGCTTTGAAACTGGCAAGAGACCAAAGGCATTCTCTCTCTTTCTTTCTTTTATTTATTTTTTTCCTTTTTAGCATCTTTTAAACATTAATCTGGAGAATATCCAGAACCACTGGTCATGGAATGTGAGAAACCCTTCATTCAGCTTCTCATCATCAACCAAGGCAACTTGCCTTAGATCTGCTATTGAACAGTTATCTTTCAGTCCCAGAATGCTTATTAACTTTTACCTTGTAGCCAAGATATTCACCTGCCATACCTTTTGTTACTATTTGCCATGTAGTACTGAAGCTGAGAGAGTGGATCAGAACGGGTGAGGTAGAATTAGTTCAAGCTAAAGTTTCTTGAAACCAGAATGTAGTGTCTACCTCTCTAATATTATATACTAAGTCAAAAGATACCATTAGACTCAACATTTATTCTGTCAATAGGAATTCACTAATGAAAACGATGCATTCATTGACTTTTTGCATCCACACTATAGGCTGGCCAGAGTGAGTTGAGGACAAAGTTATTCCAGGGTATATCATAATAGTAGCTTGTGTAAACTTCTTGGAAGCTCATCAGGGTTAATGGTTAAAGTTAGTTTTCTACTATTCGAGTTTTGTGGCAAAAAGAGTTTTAAATTTTATAAGAAAACAAACATAATTAAAGTCTATAACTTTGTTGCATTTTTAAAATGAGTTTGTCTAAATTTTATGTTTACAAGATATTTTTGTATCAATATTAAATTTCACCTCTTTATGCTTGTATCACATTTCATGTTCCTCAAAGCACATCTGTTATCCCATTTGTCCATGTGGGCCGTTCAGTTGAACAGTGAGTGAACTCAGAGGAAAAATCCATCGAAGCAGTTGCTTAGTTTATGCTTGGTTTGGGAGGGACAGACTGCATGTGGTAGGACAGATCTATGAATGCCGCCAACGGGAAGGTTATCTGTGGTGAATGGATGGATGGATGTGAGGGGAAACAATCGGCTAAATGATCATCAGAAATGGTCATCAGAAGAAAAAAGAAAAAGGAATGGTCATCAGAAGACTCTTGTGCTTTCGGTGGTTACTTTTAAATATGCAAACCTCATGTCACATTACGGTCATTTTCGTTTTTGAGTTAGGATAAGAAAATTCAGTTCAGCAGTTTATCAAACATCTGTGGCTGCCAAGTTCCCATAGTATAAGAGATTAGCAAGTGCTCTGTTGAATGGAAACTGTTGGCACAAACAATAGATAAGAGGTCTAACTATACAGTGAATATAGGTCTAACTCACATGAAGATATGTACCAGGGCAATGTTGGTATTCTTATTTTTATCACTAGCAAACCAGAGATTCAGAAAGTTAATTACATATCTTGACAGTAGCCATCTTGTTTTTCTCAATAATAATGCCAAGCAAATTCTTAAAATATATACATTAATTCAATCATTGATTTGATAGATATTTGTTGAATGCAAATTATGTGCTGGGTACAATTTTAGATGTTGACGATAGATCAATGACAAAAAAATGCCCAGTCCCTTCTTTTATGGCACTCAGCTTCTAGTGGGGAGAGGCAGACCGTGAGGAAGATCAGGGAGTCCAGAGGCTTGTGTATCAGATGGCAGTAAGTGCTCTGGGGAAAAATCGAGCCAGGAAGTGATCGGGGAGGAGTGGGAGGACCTGTCAAGGGGGGAAACAGTAAGTCCACAAAGATCAGACGTCAGTCAGAATGAGTGACAGCCTGACCTTCACCCAGCATTGGCTCCCTGACTCAGGCCGTTACTTGAGACTCTGTAAGAAGAAATAGTATTTTTAAAAAGGTGGTCCTGAGAAAGACATCTAAAACTCTCTGGCTAAAAATAGTGTGTTTCCTGACTGTTAGAGCACTTGATCCTAAATTGATGAGCTCGGTCTAATATATTACATTGGTATTTTGTGCTAACACAGTATGTCCCTCCTCGACCCCCATCCCCTCATGGAGACAGACTGAGTCATGGGTTCTGTTCTGGGAGAGCTGTTACTGAAGGATGAGGAAGCAAAGGAAAAAATGTTCATTTTTAAGATTATCTGTGCCCTGAGCCCTGACAACATCGCTAAAGTGAAGCTTCATCTTAGTTTAAACTATTCCCTTTAAACTGAATTTTAAAACATATATTATTACTTCAATAAAGTTGATACATGTCTATAATAAAAATTCATACAATGGAGAAAGGAATGAAATGAGAAATCAGTCTTCAGACACCCCTATCCCAGGTTCCACCCCCACTTTGAACATTTTTGTCTGTATCATCCCAGAAATTTTTATCCATATTTTAAATGTCATAAACTTTAATTCTATACATTTTTATATTTAATTTATATCTTGAAGTCTTTCAAATCAGAACCTGTAGATCTACCTCATTTTTTTTAAATGCTGCATATTTTTTCATTGTATGAATTAGTTAAACCCTTCTCTTATCAATACATGTTCAGGTTATTTTCACTACAAGTCTACAGTGAGATCCTGTGACATACACTGAAATAATGTGGTGAACATATCTGTGGGATAAATTCTTAGATGTGGAATTGATGTGTCAAAATGTATATGCATTTTAAATAGATGTTACCAAATTATCCTCTAAAAATGCCAATTTATACTTCCATCAACAGCATGTGAAAGTGCCTTGAACTGACTTTTAATTTTACTGTGAACCTGGAAGAAAACTCTTAATGATTGTGTTATAACAGGAGATTGAAAGATCGTGATTCCAGAACCACACTAGGGTGGTAGGCATGAAATATTTTCCATGAGCCTATTTGCCAAACTGAGACAGTGCTTTTCCTCTTTTGCATGGAAATCACATTCCCATCTTGATTATTGTCTCTTGGGATGACGAAGTGGTCCGGAGAGACTCCTCACAAAGGCCCTGTTTCCCATCCAGTTGTAAAATGCTAATAGTATGCTTCCATTTTCAGACCACGTTTACCTTCTTGAAAAAGCAAGGGCTCCTTTGGAAGGAATGTTTTGCTGCTTTTTTTTTTTAAAACATTTAGAGTTGAGCCTATTCTGATTGTGAGACCAAACAAAAGGTTGCACAACTTTCCTTTGGAGGAAAAAGTTACAT